TAGGGAAAAAAAAATACTGCTTGAAACACTTTCAAAGCGAGATTACCAGGGCTAAGACAGAGGTACAAATGATAGGTTGATTTTGATTTGTCCCTCTTAATGAAGCATTGGATCATTCCATCTCGATGGCCAGGCTGTAAAAATCAGAGGAAAGAATATACTAATTTAAGAGGCCAAATTCCATGAGATTATTGTTTCAATAGAGAGTAAAAATGTAAGCACCAAGCACAGAAAATTGGATTCTAAGAACTGAGCACGTCATCAAGAGTTTTAATAGCTTTACCTGCTTCAATGAAACAGGGAAGGTGAGCTTCCCTGAGAGCTCTGGACTCCTGACAATTTCTTTGCACAACTCCCTCCAAGGTCTGCAGACAGCAGCACATGCAACAACATGCTTACGTGAAGGCCATGTGCTTTCACTTGCCTCTAGCCTCTTAATCACATCACAAAGAAGTTCTGGAGGAAGGTTGGCCCAGCGACTCTGCAAAATTCCCGCAGGTGGTTCATGCAGCTCATGGACAGAGCTCTGAGATTTTCCTTTGTGATGGCCTGGAAGCCTCAATTCAAAGCCACGTCTTGACAAACTCCCAAAACCATCTCTTACACTCCCAAAACCATCTCTCACATCTCGAATGATGGAACGGCACGACATCTAGAATTTGGAGCTTATCCAATCCAACTAAAAGAACCAAAATTAGAACAAAATGAATCAATCAAAAAGTTTTTAAATAGCAGAAAAATGTGCAATCCTTCAAAAATTAGTAATTATGCAATTCCCTGGACAAAGCAGATGAGCAGCAATGCACCAAAGACTGTAGATTTCAGAAAGAGAATCAAATTCATCAACATAATATAAGTTAAAAAAGATTAAGAAGTAAGCCATGCTCACCTGAATTCTATGCTCAAATAGGATTTAAAACTTCATCTAAAGAGCATCTAAAATCAATATCATTGGTGTAGAATATCTGCAAATCACAAATTTGAACACCATAAGGCGGATAGATGGTAATAGATTGAAACTTAAGAATGGAATGAAACATTCGGAATAAGACTGCACATGAAAAGATGAGAGTTTAAAAAGAGCCTAGAGACCTATGTATTTCAAATCAACATTAAAGTAGCTATTGCATCCATCTTAGATAGTATTCAAAGTAGAAATACAGAAAAATAAGATGAAAAGGAAAAAAAATCCCGTGGTCCTCATGAAAGAAAATAATTTGTATTTAATCTAATGCACCAAAGATGTTGAAGCAGGAGGATATAAATATGCCCGCTTAAAGGGTTGAGTTACAAATGTTGTCCAATCTGCCAAGGGACGGTTCCAAAGTATTATAAAACTGGATGCAACAATTTTCCATTCAATAAAATAAAAATCATGGGGAAGAAATGAAGACTTTTTCTGGCTACCTTATGAAAATGGTGTTTCAAGCGGTGAATGGTATCATACAAATCCATAGAATTCCAGAACCAAAAATGAGACTAGTTCAGACTTTTGAGCTAAGGGGATGAAGTTTTTGACCCCCATTACTTCTCACTCTCCTTTTTTCAGACTAATCAATAAACATATAATAAAATACTCCGGAAATAGAAGAAATGATGAGAACTCCAATTTAAAATTGGGGATTTCTCAAAATTACCCTTCTCTATTTTTTAGAGGAAACAAAGTAGTCGAGGCACATTGATACATTTAATTTAATGTCAAAATTAATTTGTATTTCATGTTGCATTAAAATCTTAATTAGTATAAAAAACAAATTTGAAAAGAATTTGTTTCCTAATTATATAAGATATGAATACGTTACAAATTTAACTATAAATAAGGGACAATGAAAGAAATTTTTAAGGCTTACCATAGGTTGAGAGCTCAATTTCAAAATCTATCGTTTAATCTGCTGAATATATCTAATAGATTTTACAATGATCTATTTTTCCGTTTTTTCTTTGTTTATACAGAATCAATTTGAAAAAATGTCACCTGGTTCTTAAAAAGTTTGATTTAATTATTAAATATTACAATAATAAACAAATATTACTTGAAGATACTTATTCAACTTATTAATTTTACATTAAAATTAAGACTTAACTTGAATTAAGTTGCTTGAAACTGAAATATACAATCAAAATCCTAGACAACATCTAGCAACTACTTCTCTGAACTCGTATAAAATACAAATTTGATAGCAAAATACCTGAAAAAACAATCTTCAAATGCTAAATTTCAGTAATTTAAGGGCTTATATCTTTGAATCAGTTATTTTTGTGCCAAAATGATTATCTTGAAAGTCATTATACAAAAAATTCAACCATACATAGAAAGCAAAAAAAGGAAGACAATGTAAGGAGATGAAATTTCATTTGGCTCTTGCTATAGGGCCTTGTCTGAATAATCAACCATATACATGAAGAACAGTACATAATATATCAACTCCTGCCTAAACCCCATAACTCGTGTTATGCTCTTAAGTAGATATAAAACATGATAGAGCCACCATAACTGAGACATATAAAAATGCAAGAACCATCCCATAAATTTGCAGCTTCTGCCACTTCTAAGTGACTAACAAACGTCTATGGGAACCTAAAAGTTAGCTCACCCTTCAGGGTAACTAGTATTGTACTACAATCGACAAATTAGCAACCCTTTGTGTTGGGTAATAGTGCTAGTATAAATTTATAAAAAGCAAAACCAAAAAAATTGAATATCTACCAAGTTAACTCTTAAAACATTCCAGGCTTCCAACATAGACATGAGTGCCAGTTTAAGTTAACTCTTAACTTGTTTTTGCTATTAGGATAGGCTAATCTTTTAGCACTCCTTAGCATTGAACTTCATCTTGCTTTTTGATACAAATACTTTGTAAGAAGAATCAACGATGAAAAAAACATGGGTAGAGGACTAGTACTTTTGGGCCACTTCAAGTGGCTAGGATTCAACTCTAGTTATACATCTATAAAAGATTTGATTGTAAGTCTATGCTGAAGCTGATGGCACAAACTAACTTGATCTGTATGGAAATGCATAGGCCGTCTAATTGTTTGACCTGCTTCAGCGGGTTTACGCAGAAATCCTAGACCATCGATCAAATAAGGCTCAACTTCACCAAAATGCCCAATAAAGATGAACGATACTCACCAGGATTAACATTATTGTTTTTTGGGACCATATAGATCAAGTATTAAAAGCATTGGCCTAATTATGCTTTGCTAATAACAATAAAATTTCATACTGATCAATAAAAAAAGGTCATAAATTAAAATATTGATACAACGACTACTATATAAAAATTTATTTGTTCTATTTTCTGATTAATAGAAAATGTTTTTTGATTGGAATCACAAATTGAACAAAAAAGACAATATACAAATTTAATTTACCAAAAGGTTCAATTAAGGCAGAAAAACAAGAAATCATACTGGGTTACTCAAAATTGACAAGCGTTAACTGAAAAAGACAGCATGTCTAACAATAGATTTTCTTCAATTTTCTGGCAGACGAATAAAATTAACTTTCCCATGGAGATATAGTCCCTCATAATCTGGCATGTAATCATCATCATCATCATTAGCTTTACCCTTTACTTGGATTGTTATTACAAGTCGACTGTCTCCATCATGTTGACTTACCGAGAGTTGCACGATGGATATAGTTACTTGCAGAATCAATTTGAAAAAAATGTCACCTGGTTCTTAAAAAGTTTGATTTAATTATTAAATATTACAATAATAAACAAATATTACTTGAAGATACTTATTCAACTTATTAATTTTACATTAAAATTAAGACTTAACTTGAATTAAGTTGCTTGAAACTGAAATATACAATCAAAATCCTAGACAACATCTAGCAACTACTTCTCTGAACTCGTATAAAATACAAATTTGATAGCAAAATACCTGAAAAAACAATCTTCAAATGCTAAATTTCAGTAATTTAAGGGCTTATATCTTTGAATCAGTTATTTTTGTGCCAAAATGATTATCTTGAAAGTCATTATACAAAAAATTCAACCATACATAGAAAGCAAAAAAAGGAAGACAATGTAAGGAGATGAAATTTCATTTGGCTCTTGCTATAGGGCCTTGTCTGAATAATCAACCATATACATGAAGAACAATACATAATATATCAACTCCTGCCTAAACCCCATAACTCGTGTTATGCTCTTAAGTAGATATAAAACATGATAGAGCCACCATAACTGAGACATATAAAAATGCAAGAACCATCCCATAAATTTGCAGCTTCTGCCACTTCTAAGTGACTAACAAACGTCTATGGGAACCTAAAAGTTAGCTCACCCTTCAGGGTAACTAGTATTGTACTACAATCGACAAATTAGCAACCCTTTGTGTTGGGTAATAGTGCTAGTATAAATTTATAAAAAGCAAAACCAAAAAAATTGAATATCTACCAAGTTAACTCTTAAAACATTCCAGGCTTCCAACATAGACATGAGTGCCAGTTTAAGTTAACTCTTAACTTGTTTTTGCTATTAGGATAGGCTAATCTTTTAGCACTCCTTAGCATTGAACTTCATCTTGCTTTTTGATACAAATACTTTGTAAGAAGAATCAACGATGAAAAAAACATGGGTAGAGGACTAGTACTTTTGGGCCACTTCAAGTGGCTAGGATTCAACTCTAGTTATACATCTATAAAAGATTTGATTGTAAGTCTATGCTGAAGCTGATGGCACAAACTAACTTGATCTGTATGGAAATGCATAGGCCGTCTAATTGTTTGACCTGCTTCAGCGGGTTTACGCAGAAATCCTAGACCATCGATCAAATAAGGCTCAACTTCACCAAAATGCCCAATAAAGATGAACGATACTCACCAGGATTAACATTATTGTTTTTTGGGACCATATAGATCAAGTATTAAAAGCATTGGCCTAATTATGCTTTGCTAATAACAATAAAATTTCATACTGATCAATAAAAAAAGGTCATAAATTAAAATATTGATACAACGACTACTATATAAAAATTTATTTGTTCTATTTTCTGATTAATAGAAAATGTTTTTTGATTGGAATCACAAATTGAACAAAAAAGACAATATACAAATTTAATTTACCAAAAGGTTCAATTAAGGCAGAAAAACAAGAAATCATACTGGGTTACTCAAAATTGACAAGCGTTAACTGAAAAAGACAGCATGTCTAACAATAGATTTTCTTCAATTTTCTGGCAGACGAATAAAATTAACTTTCCCATGGAGATATAGTCCCTCATAATCTGGCATGTAATCATCATCATCATCATTAGCTTTACCCTTTACTTGGATTGTTATTACAAGTCGACTGTCTCCATCATGTTGACTTACCGAGAGTTGCACGATGGATATAGTTACTTGCAACTTACAATACTCGATATTCTGACATCCCACATACCTAAGGAAATCGAATGACGTCCACTAACAAGCGACTGATCCAAGAGATATTCCCATAAAAATATTTCAGAATCAGGACAAGTTGCAGAAAGGGTGTATGAAACAGAAAAAAGCGCCACATCAATGGAGTGAAAGATCAAGAATAGCATAAGAAATTAAGAAGGTTCAAAGCAATTACCAGATAAGAGCTCCATGACTCCAAAGTCAACACGTTACAGCAAAGTAGAAGATTTCCAGAACCCCAACCCCGCACCAAAACTACCTAAAACATATGCATAGGTACCGAGAAAATAGCACCGACCTCTACAATTGTCCCCACATACTCCAGATCTCGATCAGAAACTCTTTGTTCAAATCTCAAATCCGGAGCAGATAAAATGCTCACTGTCGTGGATGGGCCAGAAAGACCGAACGGCGGTATAAGAACTCAACTAGAGGGAGGGGTACAAGAAAGGAGCAGATCGATGCCAGCTTACCCTTCCAAAGCACACAGATCGCATGCTTTACTTCTCGCCGGCCTAAGGCGGATCTCAAAGTTTCGTTAAATTGGACTAAGGATGAAAAGGTAGTTTAAAACAAAAAACGTAAAAAAAAGGGTAGGACGGCGTGGAGGAAGGTATTGCTCCAATTTGCATAGTTGACTTTCCGTTCCGTTACTTGACGGACGTGCCTGCTGTCTTTGGTCAAGCGTCCCTGCCTGGTCACTGGCCGTCCAAGAGAGAAGTGTGCCGTACGGGGACCGTATTTTATATATATATATATATAAAAAGAAAATTTATATTTGGAAGAGATTCAAATATCGATTTCTCATGTGCATCAAAGCTCAATGATGAGAACCCGCGTCATGTGACTAACTATTCGAGAATCTCGCGTCATGGGGGATCGAACCCGTGACCTGAGGGGACTTACTGTGAATCCCGTCAAGCAACAGGCCACGGCTCCCGCCAACCAACAGATCACGACTTGCGGCATATATAGATATATGAAAGAGGAAGGCTAGGGTGGCGACGAAACCTGAACCTGCTACGACGCTCCCCTTCCCTTCTAGTACAACGAGGCGCCAAGAGCAGCAGACGATGAGATTGAGTGAGAGGCTAGGGCTAGACGGACGACGAAAGAAGCGACACGATCCCCCTCCATTCCACTTCGAGGACGATGAGTCGATGAACAGTTGCAGTTACCCGAACCGCCATGAAGTCACTGGAGAAAAGCAGAGCGACAATGGATATTGTGGATATATATGGATATATATATATATATATATTAACCATTCAAAAAACTAAGTTTAATATTTTAAAAAATTTTATTTGCCAATCATCTAAAATATTTAATATAAAATACTAATCATACAAATATTAAATATAATATTTTAATGCACGTTATTCTTGCAAGTGGATAAATAAAAAAAATTATAATGAAAAAATGGTTAAAATATTATATTTAAAATTTTAATGGTTAAAATATAATATTTAATATTTTGAATAATTAGTATGTAAGAATTTCAATATTTTAATCATCTAAATTTTAAATATAATATTTTAATCATAGTTAAAGTTTTTGTTGATTAAAATATTATATTAAAAATTTCGGTGATTAAAATATTATATTTAACATTTGGGTGGTTAGAATATTATATTCAATATTTAGTATGTTTTTTATATAAAAGCTCACACACATGCACATATAAATTTATATATATATATATATAGATATATGAAAAACATGTCAGTATGTATCTTAAGTAAATCTAACAGTAACAGATGAAGTGATATGGCAAGATAGGACCCACTAAGAAAGCAACACAAACGAAGTCTCAATTTCTTAACAGCTATCAAAGTTCGGGCGACTCAAGCAACCGAAGAACTCCGGAGACCTAAGCAGGCTGGCAACGGGGATTAGATGGCTCAAGTAGTCAAGGATTGTTGACCTTATTTTTTATGAGGTTCAATCTTTCTTCTTTAGAATCCTAGGATCTAATCATAAGGCTTTCCTATTGATTATCTAAGATGACTAGTGATGGAATCCTCCCATATAGAAATTCTAGACACTTCTTAACTCTTCTTTTGAAGTCCCACCTGGGTGGTCCCAAGCCCTTAGCCTTTGAGTAAGATGGTCAGGACCAACATGGGTGGTCCAAAGTCTTTGATCTTTGGTTAAAATGGATAGGAACAACATGTGGAGGATCCAAAATGGATTCTCCTATGGATTTTATGGCTTTAGGGAAGCTTCATAGCTTGCATGTTTACCCTACCCCAAGATTCTCCAAACTTACCAAAATACTCTTGGTACCCTAAAAATACTAAAACTCTTCAAATGATCATTTTTTCACCAAAATTCAATCTAAACCATCTCAACTTATTCAAATTGCCTAAATTCACCTCAAGTTCCCCCAAATTGACCAAAACACCCAAAATTCCCAAAATGCCCTTATGGTCTCAAAATTCCCATCTTTTTAACAAAACCATTTTAAACCTCTTCAAATTATTCAATTGACATAAAATACTCGACACTTTTCAAAATTAACCAAAATGACCTAAATTTCCAAAAATTACCATAGTAACCTAATCTTCACCAAATTTCTCAATTTACCCCCAACTCCCACCTAAGTCATTTCAAGTTCAATTTCATCACATTCAAGCCCAAAATAAATCTCCTTTCATGAAAATTCTTCATCTAGCCCACTAGGATTAAATTTAAAAGCCTACTTTAAAAGCCTTCCCCCTATAATTTTTTAAGCCCATGAACCCAAGCACAAACTTTTAATTTCATTTAAAAATCCAAAAAAACCCACAAGACAAGCTTCATCTTCATCATCCATTTAATCAAATTGAACTTTATGCCATGTCATCCATATTCCCAAAACAAGCCTCATGAAAAACCCTCTCAAAAATACCAAAATTTCCTAAAATCCTTTTTTATGCACATGGCTAAGCCAAAGGCAAGCCATGAAGCCACCTCCAAACCACATGCAAACGATGTGAGTCATTGTCATGTAACCTTGCTTAAAGTGACAAAAGGAGTAGTCTCTTTTAAGCTCCCTTAAAAAGTGATTAACCCTTCATATGCTTCACCTAAACCCAAATTTAATTTAAATAATCATGATTTGGACTTCACCCCACTGATCAAGCTGACCTACTCATCAACCTTAATAACTTTGGGAGTGACCCAAGCCACTTTGGTGAGCTTAGACCCAACCTAGACCCAAGTTGACCCACACACCTTTCCTTTTTCAATCAAACACCTCTACCCATGCACAAACACAATTGTATTCACATTTGCCCACCATTAACTTTCCTCATTCAGATGGTGACCTCTTCCTGGCTGGCTGGTGATACACCAAAATAATGTATTATTTTTAAGGATACATTTTATGCTTATTTTTGGTGATATTGCCCTTAAAAGAAGAGTATTTTTATGTTTTTGTTGCAAGTATATCAATTTTAGGCATTTTGAGCAAAAGTAGCAAACATGAGAAAATTTGGAGCTACATGAGAAAATTTGGAGCTAATTTGGAGCTAAAATAAAGAACTTTGTGATTATCGCGCCCGAGGCACCAAAATCGGCGCCAACTTCTAGATAGTTGGTGCCTGAAGAGCAACAATTGTCGCTAGAGGTGCCATTATACAAAGAAGCGGTGCCTGTAGTGCCAAAATCGGTGCTTGAATTGCCAGAACCTGGAACAACGTGAATTTAAGTAACTTGGCGCCTGCAGTGCCAGACACGATATTTGATGGATTAATGCGGTTTGGGATGAATTTCAGTGGATTTTGAAGGCTTCAAATGTTTTAAACACCTCATAGAGTGATTCAATGCATCTAGACACTTTGGAAGGTTCTTTAACAAAGGGATATGTCTCTTAAATGAATGAACATGCCTTTTGGGATTCAAAAGGTGTGACTTTTGAAGAGAATTTGGGAGGGAATTTTGAACTCTTTTTGAGAGGAGGTTGCCACTAATTAAAACGAGAAGGATTCTAGGGCTAAGAAGAGGCAAGAGGAGAGAGGCGAGAGAGAGAGAGTTTGGTGGTGACGTGAGAGAGAGTGAGGGACTCAGAGATTTTCTTCTAGGGTTGTAAGAAAAGAGGGGAAGTGAGAGATTTCTTCTTCATTATATTTCTAAGAGAAAATTGAGAGTGCTTGTAAAGAGGGAAAGTGCTTAAAGAGAACTTCTATGGATTTGCTTGGAAAGGAGGGTGAGATAAGTTGTGTCTTTTATTGTTTTGTTTTATAAACTTCTTTTTATATGGGAATTTCAAGTTCAATTTCATCACATTCAAGCCCAAAATAAATCTCCTTTCATGACAATTCTTCATCTAGCCCACTTTAAAAGCCTTCCCCATATAATTTTAAAAGCCCATGAACCCAAGCCCAAACTTTTAATTTCATTTAAAAATCCAAAAACAAAAACTCACAAGACTAACTTCATCTTCATAATCATTTTAATCAAATTGAACTTTATGCCATGTCATCCATATTCCCAAAACAAGCCTCATGAAAAACCCTCTCAAAAATACCAAAATTTCCTAAAATCCTTTTTTATGCACATGGCTAAGCCAAAGGCAAGCCATGAAGCCACCTCCAAACCACATGCAAACGATGTGAGTCATTGTCATAGGCTTAAAGTGGCAAAAGGAGTACTGTCTTTTAAGCTCTCATAAAAAGTGATTAACCCTTTCCTAAACCATGTGAGTGCTGGTATCCTCCCAACCTAACCACGGAATTAGAAACCAAACTCTGTATTAGTCAATGATCTTTATACACTTGAAAGGGTTAAAGACTATGATTGCTTCTATTTGACATAATACAATTATATATATATATATATATATATAAATGATTTTAATTTCTTCACAATCCATGTATTCATTGTATAGGGGAAGGATTCTTTCTTAAATTTGAACTCTTTATCACAAATTCTTTGTTTAGTTTTTATAAGTTTACTTTTGAAGTTTAGCAAATAGTTTAGTTAACTTTATTCTATTAACTGCATTTTATTTAACATACACTCCTTTACTTTAAATTTGAATTTTGTACTTAAGTTTTGTAGTTTGAATTTTATGTTTTACATTATAGTCATAAGAATTTCCAACTCCCTCTGAGATTGATACTTAAGACTCCATTAAAGTCATTTATTACTTTGCAATATGTATACATGTGTTATTATGACGGGTTTGTCAGTTTAAAGATTTTAAAAGATAAAATTATTTTTACTAAAATTGTTTTTTATTGGGATTGAATTGCAAATTTATTATTAGTGTTATCGTGTGTGTTTCTTAATATTAAAAAAAATATTTACAAAACCAACACACAACAAACCTCACATCAGCTCGCCACCTTGGCTGTCGGAAACCCCATGGTCGAGAGGGACCTTATGGCTTAAATTCATAATTGAACCCATCCATTGTGTCGCATTTCAATTAGCCAATAGCTCTTGTCAGCCCTCCACCTCTGCAGCCTTTTGGACACCTCAACTTGCCTAATTGGAGCCCCCTTTATCCTCTATAAATACATCCCACCTCATGGCCAAAAGCAAAAATTTGCAAAAACCTTGGGGAAACTCTGTAAAAAACATTCTAAACCCTAATTCCAAT